TATATATATATATATATAAATAGAATAAATGTTTGAAAAGAAAATTTTCCCTGAGCGGGATTTGAACCCACGTCCCCCTGTTACTAGTCAGGTGTGATGACCACTACACTATCAGGACAACCATGCTGGCAATACGGCAATGTGATTTACGTGATCGGAGACGTGGTCTCCCGGGAAACTTAATTTTCAAGGTGACAGGGTAGGGGAAGCCTATAACCCCATATGAAACCCAACTAAGGATCTATTAAAGATACACGACCGAAATCAACTTAGCGGATGACAAAGGAGGATCCAATTACAGATACAGGCTAATTTCAATTAAACAAATTCTGTATACGAGGGAAACCCTGACTCTGTACACCCCAAATAATCATACTTAGATAGAATAAATGTTTGAAAAGACAATTTGCCAAAGGATCCTCCTTTGTCATCCGAGAGCAAAAAAATTGGTGTAACGTTGGAATCACATCACTTGAATCATAAGGAATTTTTTCCTGCTCAGCGTACCTATATCGAGTTATGGATGCGATGGATGCGTGTAGGAAGTTTGGAGAGCACGAGAGAAGCGTAAGAGTCGCTCAGGGCGCAGTCGAAAATAACTTTTTTTAGCTTCTTTAGTGTTCTCCAAACTTCTAAAGTGCGCCCATAACTCAACATACGCACAGCTAAAAGCAACAATTGATTCTTTTACAATATAGGGGTCACAACTTATGTTTGAAGAAAGAGTTTTATTATTATTGTAGTGTCGGGTTTACCAGGTAATCGCAATCTACCAAAAAACTGACTAAAAGACAAGGCAAAAACGACTAAAAAATATTTCAGGACTAAAGATTAATTAAAGAATTGTAAATTTGCTGATAAGAAGCGAAAAACAAACGAATTTCTTGCATGTACGAGACCGTGTAGTGGATTCAACATGCTTGAATCTGTTGTTTACTGGAATACAGGGCCGGAAAATTACGTAGGTTTGCGATGAAAATTCTTAAATTGTACGATTAAAAAATTAAAATATTCTATTGTAAAATACTTTTAGGACATATTAACAATTAAAAATGACGGTCACAGTTCGGAAAACGAAGCGAAAAACATACAAATTTCTTACGTTTACCAAACCCGTTGAATTACCAGACTTGAATTGTTGTTTACTAGAATTTACAACCAGAGTCGAAAAGTCTGAAAATTGTACGATTTAGACCAAAATCTTCTATTGTTCCTGTCGTTGTCTTCACAATCACCGCGAACTTTGAAGTGATTTCACGATGGGCATTGTTTAGTTTGACAGATGTATTGTTTTTCGTGTCTGGGCTCAAGACAATGGCCCCTCACTCGAAACGCGCCATTTTGAACGCATCTTCGACTGCCAATTTTCAAACTATAAAGGATAGTAGTTCCTGTTGACCAATTTTCAAAATGAAAACGAATTCTTTTAGAGGAAAGATTAATGTGCCATTTGCCGGGCGTTGACTCGATTAAATCGATCTTAAAAATGACTTCATACCAAATATGACCAAATTTAGTGCACTTTCAAGTGCAAAAGGATCATTCTCATACTTCGTAGATTTCCTACATTTAGATACAAAATGTAGGTACATCTTTAATTTTCAAAAAGGCGCGCGTTGATTTAGGAGTTAGCGCTTTTAAAACTCAGAAAAGTGAATGTTACAAAGCCTAGTGGGCCAACTTTGGCCCAATTTTCTCTAATTTAAATGTCATCAAAGCGAGCTCGCGTTCAAATTTGTCGCTCTATCGGTAATGAATAATTAATGATGTCCATGCATTCTGCAAGGCTTGCCCGAAAAGTTTGTAAACCAATCGGCTCCGCCTCGTGGTTTACAAACTTTTCTCGCATTCTCCCAAAATTTCCTAAAGTGGTTTATTGTTTAATTTTACTGTAGAAAGTAATGTGCCCTTCCTGAGCCTTTTTTTCAAAGCTAACACTCACTTACGTGCTTCGTTTTCGTGCCTAAAGAACATGTGAGGAAGAAATCAATTTTTTATCTTTCTTGTACTCTGCAAATAGTTGTCTCAGCTTGCGTCGATTGCTATCTAATCTCCTTACTCTTTCTCCCAGTACTCCTCCTTTTTTTCATGTGTGCCCTGCCACGTTTTCTTTTTTCGTCTAAGGTAACATTTCTATAATTTGCCTTCAACACATCTTTTTGCGTGTATCCATTTTTTAAGTATATATGATTTTCCCAGAATTTTTAAGCTTGCAATCGGTTCCTCTAATAGATTTTTCTCCCTTCTGAGCTGAAGAGATCTCGTTGGTGGGCTTAGGTTCACTAGGTTCATAAGCGACGAACTCCCTGAGTATTCAAAACATCATTAAAGTCGAAAGAGTCTTGTAAGGAGATAAGGCTGATTATTGCAGAAAAAATTTTGAAATTGAAGATATTTAAAAACTCTCCATAGGTTCGATTTGACCAAGGTTCCCGAGTGTATATCACACCCAATCCAGCCTATAGGAAAGCGGACAAGCTCTCTGGTCTATGCGGTAACTTTAACGGACTGGTTCAGGATGACCTGAAGCTTCGCGATAACGTCACGGCAAGTGATGATCTTGAGTTTGGTTATGTTTGGAAAGATGAAGAGGACTGCCCCCGTCCAAAGTCTCTTGATCCTTGTACGGAAAATCCATCTCGCCAAGGCTGGGCCGAGAAAGGTAAGTAGTCGTATGTGATTTTGCTTAGGGAGCGACAAAATTGAGCTTAAGTCTTTTAATAAAAAAGTAAGCTTCGGAAAACGTATAGGATCGGATATTTACACGAGGTCTAACCCATCCTCGGAGACCCAGGGGCAGTGAGTCGATTTCAAGTTAAGGGCAGAAGAGCCCCTGGGGACATTGTCCTACAAGACTAGTTCCAAACGGTCGCAGTCGTTCTGGCATCTGATTGGTGCCAGAAAATCTTTGTTTTTTTCTGCCCAATCAGAGTGAAGTGTCGTTTGGAGTCCTTTCGTGTGTTTTAACATGCACATATTGAACAAGCCTGTTGCTCGCTATGTTTGTCTCGGCCGTGCGACGAAGCTTTGCCCGAGGGGAAAAGTTTCAGTCTCAGCACACAATGTAAGAGAAATCGATCAGATTGTCCGCGAAATCTTACCGNCCCAGGGGCTCTTCTGCCCTTAACTTGAAATCGCCTCACTGCCCCTGGGTCTCCGAGGATGGGTCTAACCCAAACCGCGGTTTTACGTAAGCAGTGGGCCTCAAGAATTCTCTTTGAGAGGGTTGATTGAATTCAATGATTGTCCTTCCATTATTAGCTTTCAGCCCTCTTGACACTGATCACAGAGTAGATGTTCAGATAAAAGGTTTGGCTAAATTGAATATGACCTAGAACGCGGTTTTATCATACAACTTTGTTTAAATAGCCGGCCTATAGTTTTTGTCCTTGCCTCAGTACGATGTTCTACGACCGAGTCATGAAGAATTGGATGGTGGGGCGGACTATGTACTAACCTCATAAATTATGTTAAAAGCGTCCTACTTATTGTTACGATCAACAATCTTCAAAGCTTCTTGTTTGAAAAGAATTGGATATATCAACAAAGTCGAAATGGTAAATTGGCCACCGTAACGACTACAAAAGCTGACGTTTCGAGCGTTAGCCCTTCGTCGGAGCGATAACAGAATAGTTGACTGACTCACTGGTACCTGACCTGCTGACTGACTATTTGACCAAATTTTAGTCTTTTCTTACAGATTTCAGCATAATCTATTAAAAAAATTGGTTTTGGCAACTTTGCAGATACCTTTTGCAAAACCGAGTTTTCAGCCTGAGTTGAAAAGGACTTGACCCATTTCACACTGTGGCCACACTTCGCAGGCAACGTTGTGTTTCAACCAAATTTTAGTGTATTCTTATAGATTTCAATACAATCTGGTCAAAAAAATTGGATTTGGCAAGTTTGCAGATACTTTTTGGAAAACCGTGTTTTCAGCCCGAGTTGAGCAAGACTTGGCACATTTCACTCTCTGGCCAAATTTCGGTAGAAAGATCGGGTCTCAACCAACTTTTGGCGTTTTCTTTCAGATTTCAATGCAATGTGGTCAAAAATTTGGTTTGGGGTTATTTGCAGATAGTTTTGCAAAACAGTGTTTTCAGCGTAAGTTGAGCAAGACTCTACCCATTTCACTCTCTAGCCAAATTTTTCGCTCCGACGAAGGGCTAACGCTCGAAACGTCAGCTTTTGTAATCGTTACGATGGCCAATTTACCATTTCAACTTTGTTGATATATCCAAATTATTTCGTTACTCCCACCGACGCAGCCCCAAACAGTTTCTTTCGAAACTATCAGGCTTGTTTGAAAAGAGACTTACAAAGACAATTGCCTTGTTATTTTTAAGGCTGTAACGAGATCAAGACAAATGCCAACTTCAAAGCATGCCACGATACCGTAGATCCTGAGCCTTATTTAAAGGCCTGTAAACATGAGTCCTGCCTCTGCAACGCGGGAGGGGACTGCGCATGCTTCTGTTCAGCGATAGCGACATACGTTCGAGCCTGCAATCAGATGGGCATCTCAATTACATGGCGTAGAGAAGGCTTTTGCGGTGAGTGTTAAGACATGGTTTACTTATTTATTTGAATGTCTGTTTAGGTATTTATATGCAGTATTTTTAAGGAATTCAGGAGAAGGGAAAAAAGTAGGTAGCATTCAAGAAGGGTAACAACAGGGAAAAGAGGATGAAGGAATTTTTCCAAACGATTTAGGGCATGCAACTCAGGTGAACAAGAAAGATCACCAAAAGCTATTATGTTGATAATTATTTGAAGATCTTTTTCTTAAAAATGATCGGCACAAAATTGCCCCACAATGAGGGCACTTTAAACTACATTGGTGAGTTAGGTTCCCTCATTAGATATTGTATCATCATCATTATTAAACGAAGCGTGTATCCACTAGCTTTTCTTAGATTTTTAATCAGACATTCTAATGCATTTTTCGATTTTTAAGCACCTTATCATAATTATGTAAATGTTTTTAGTGATTGTAGAATAAATAAATTATCATTATTATTAAAATTATTATTACTATTATTATTATTATTATCGTTGAAGTTTTTACGTTCTAATTTTTCTTGATCGCAGTTCCTAGTCTTATGATATCATTATGTCTGTATAAATTCCAGAACTACCATGTTGTCGTCCCTGTGAGAATACCGGTGGTTACCTTGCCAACATTAGTTTGCCTTCAACGTGCGAGCAGACTCCAAAGGATTGCGAAAAGTTGGGGGCAAGGTGCTGTCGAGGACCACGTGTGGAAGGGTGTTCATGTCCCAGTGGAACTTTCTTCGATGGTAAGAAATGTGTCAATCAGACTAGCAAGTGTGAGAGGCCTTGCGTTGGCTCATCGACCGTCGCGTCCTCCACCACAAGTGTGTCAACTACAACCAGCATCAGGTGTGTGATTAAGAACACAATGTTCATGTTTGCTATGCTACTTTAGTCTACTATAATTTTAAAGAAGTTGTTACATTGTCACTTCGTAACAGAGCTCCGGTCCGACAACTAGCCCTTCATAGTTTCATCAACTACTGTAAAACCAAGAATGGAAGCTAGTATAAAAATCTAAAAAGTCATTAAACTTGTCCTTGGTAAAGGGGGTCTTGTCCTCTTAAAGTTTGATGTACTTTGTTGGTAAGAAATGCCTCAATCTGGGCTTTCTAACATTTTAGCATTTAGGCTTTTCCTATAACTCTGTGGAAAATTTTTCTTTCTATAACGAAAAGGCATAAAACTGACTCTTTCCCGTGCATTGGGCATCACCAAAAACTTCTTGATTCGAGGCACATTACGTAACTATTTGATAAAAAAAACTAATAACAACAGATGTGAGACTGTAAATGTCAAAAGGCAAGAATAAATAATACACATCTCTAACCTTTTCTCTCTCTTTTCCTATCTTTTTCGAAGCATTTCAAGTTCCTCACGTGCGAGCACATCCACGTCAACATCAACTTCATACAGTAAGAGTACATCTACTAGTGCATCAACATCTCTGAGCACAAGTACCTCGATGTCAATTAGCAGTAGTGTATCTACGCCATCATCCACTAGTATTAGCTCTCCAACAACATCACTTTCGTCGTCAACGTCACTGACTTCAAGTGGGTCAACAAGTCTTTCAACGTCGGCCAGCACCTCCACGTCAACCTCAACTAGTGTGAGCTTACCAACAACATCCGTTTCCACGTCATATTCAAGTGGTAGCAAAAGTTATTCCACCTCAGCGTCTACTAGTGTGTCTAGTTTAGCCTCAACTAGTGCGAGCACTACTACATCGGCGTCAACAAGTGTATCAACTTCGCTTTCAACTAGTGTTTCAAGCAGCGTAAGGTGAATATTGCATAAAATGTTTCCAAGTCCATGATCTTTTTATGTTTTACGTCGCCTAATTTAACATTCGTTCATTAATCAAACCAGGAAGCTAGCGAAAATGGAAGCTCTTAATGAGAGTCAGAGAAGTTGGATTGATATTGATACTAATTAGTTAGTCTCGTAAAGTCATTTTTCGCGTGACCTTTTGTAACCTGTTCTGATTTACTGGTGTTTTCTGAATATTGTTTGCAAGGTGTGACCATATGCTAGAGACATATAATGACAACATTCTAAACGCTTTATGGATTTTGTAGAGCTCGACTGGTTCATGATGCACGTGATGCGTTAAATCTGGACTCATTATTAATTGTAAAAGACGAAATTGTATTAAAGTACTTAACTTCTAAAATCGTTCTGATTTTCTCTTTAATGCATAGTACGTCAACCTCGACCTCAAAGTCTGCTTCAGCTAGTAAATCTACGTCGATTTCTACCAGCTTGTCCAGGTATGAATTGTTATCTTACGTTAAAAGTTTATTATATTACACATTGAATGAACGATTTAATTTACATCGTACAGTACGTTGATAAAACATCAATTAAAATACCTTTTATGGCTTTTGCCTCCCAGATTATCTTTTTTGTCGGAAAAAACGTAATACAGTTCGCTGCGAATACTTTTGTTGCCTGAGATACTAAGAAAATTAACAAGATGTAGAATGGGCTCGAACTGTTTGTGGAAATTGCTCAAATTCCATCGACACATTACCTATCATTATGGCCAAATATAAATTATTTCCAAAAGTGAGGTTCTACAACACGTATTATACTGTGATTCAATCCAGATACAAACGATAAAAAGAAAATGACGTGGACGGGTCAGAAAAAAGATATTGAGAGTGGTTGGAGTAAAAAAATTTGGATCTATTTCGTGTGTCGGTAATTTGATAATACGTTCAATGTGCGAGAAAAAGATCAACACGGAATGCAGACTACACTTAGCTGAAGATACAGCAGGTGATCATAAAAGCGCTGACCAAGTTTTTCGTTGTCTGTTGGTGGCGGTGGTGACATCATAAAATGTCAGAAGAAGGCGACTCTCGTGAACCCAGGAGTAATATTTTACCTCTTCTCTTTTACAAATACCGCTTAAAGTGTTCTAAATTTACTTCTCAATAGATCTGGCATTAAGAAGAAAAATGCCTTACCAAGCGATCTGATTTTTGTCATTTTCTAAACAAAGGTTTTACAGCTACTTCGAATTTTCTGCGGCTGCTATCTGCCATCAGCAAGAGTGAAACGCTACACTGCGAGTGCACCGAGCAACTATTACACGTCATCAGCCCGAAGTGCATTGTACAACACTCAAGATGGCGGAAGTGGCTGTTAGAACCTTCTTTGGAAAACGATAAAAAAAAAAAAAAAAAAACAGATCGCTTTGAAAGGAAATTTTTTATATGCCAGATCTATTGAGGTAAATTGTGAACATTTTGAGCGATAGAAGGAGTAAGAGAACTCATTACTGCGAAGACCGCCCTCATATTAATTTCTTTAACCGCAGTTCACAGATATGATTTTCATATTTTCACAAACATTGACTAATCTCTTCACGGGTTTCTGTACTACGAACCAACAAAATGATCAGCTCCCAGTTGGCTTTGAAGCTCAGTTGGCAGAGCACAGCACCGGTATCGCAGAGGTCATGGGTTCAAATCCCGTTTAGGCCTGAATTTTTTTCAGGCCTTATTTCCACTACTGCTTAAGTAGTTTTGGTTACAATGAATATATGAAGTTCATATATTTATTGTCAGTGGTTCGAATCCCGTACAGGCCTGGTTTTTTTCAGGTCTGATTTTCGCTATTGCATAAATAGCGCTCTCTACTGCGAGGATCGTGCATCATACGTACTTAATTAGTTTTAAACAACAACAAACATATGAAACATATGTGTGAACTGCGGTTATGAGACGTATATGAGCACGATCCTTCGCGAAGGATCGTGCTCATATACGTTAATTAGTTTTCATTACTGCGAAGATTGCTCACATATTCATTTTGAGCGGTATTTGTAAAAAGAGTAGAGGTTCCCCATAAAGCCATGACAAAGTCGTTTTTGATGATGATGGCAATGACGATGGTGATAGGTTTGATAGTAGCAAAGATGGAAATGGAGGTATGATGATTAAAAGGGGCAGTGATGGTGAAAATGATGCCGATTGTGGGATTTTAAGTATCAGTATTCCATGCTGAAATCATGGTGGCGAGGCACGGCAAACTCTGTTACTCTATCGCAGGAGCAAGTTTATTGTGGATGGTAAGAGGGCAATGAGAGATGCATAAAGTATTTTTAAAATAATTTTCATGTATAAGTTGAGCTCAACGAGTCTATGGAGATAGAGAGTGTCGATGTCAATTCCTCCCTCTTTCGATCTCCTAGTTCACAACCGTTATACACTCAAGGTCTATCTTCCTATGGCACGAGTAAATCAAAGTCAGTTTTTCAAGTGTCCTCGTCCCAGTCGAAGTCCGGCCCGATATTCCCGCCAATCTCGTCATATCAACCAGTTTCAGAGAAAACTGCAGCCACTGTGTTTCCATCGTCTGCGCACACATGGTCCTCCAAAGTACAATATTCAATACCTACATCAAGTAGGAAGCCCCCAAGTTTGAAGTCACCGTCGAAATCCTCTACATCCAGTGTCTCATCGTCCAGGTTACTAGCACTATTGTAAACATGGGAGAGGAAGGGAGGGTTGGGAGATGAGCAGAGGGAGAGGGGATGGGCAGAGGGGTTGAGGATAGGTGGAAGGGTATGGGATGGGCGTTTGGGTGTGAGGGAGAAACACCAAAATCCATCATAGAGGAAAAATGGTTATGGACGAAAAAGGGTGAAATATATGTATTTATCTGCTTATAGAACACTGCTGAAAGGAGATGTACGATGTATGGACTGCTTGTTGAGTTTAATGAGCAGACACTGAAGTGATCATTTTGTTCGTCTAATTTTTCTGCTTTGGACAGGGAAGGACAACGTTTGAAATTGAAAGCAGTCTTTTGATCAATAAAGGGCATCTTTAATTTCTGAAAAATAAAATAAGTCTTCAAACTATCCGCGTAACTGCTCGCATAGATCGGAAAAAGTAAGAAGGTGTGCTTGGTGAGGAAACTCCCTGCTACTGTTCTTGGCTTGGAAATCAATCTTTCTTTAAATTTAGTAATCCCTTGCAAAAATTTCCCCACAAACTAACCCAACCGGTTAGAACATTGAAAACTCTATAAGGTTTTGGTTAAGCATAAAACAAATGAAATAACTTGAGCAGAGAACAACAACAACAAAAAAGACGCAAAAAGCGCAGACCATACCATTAGACTACGATTTCACTTACTGTGTTTTAGTTTTAGTTACAGGGTAGAACTGTAACTATTAGATAGCCCCCCACAAAAATGTATCGTTCGTCGATTATTCTGTTCAGTTTTGTACCCTAATGTTTTCTTTACTATATAGTATATCAACATCAACCTCAGCTAGTACGAGCTTGAGCTCAAGTGCGTCGACATCTACCTCAACAAGTGTATCCACATCCACAAGTGTGAGGTAAGTTTCCTTTTGGTTTTCTTTTTAACTAGTTATTAAGAAAAGGCTTGTGCAGCTGGACTGATGATCAATTAAAATAGTCATCTGAGTGTATCTTTGACCTTGGTTTTTTTTTTTTTATTGTACATTAAAATGACGATTTGCATAAATATTAGAGGAACCTCACTGTTTTCAACACATTTGCAGTCATGTGTCATTAACCAAGCGACGTTTTTTGAAATTTCGCTGGTATTGAAACTGAAGTAACGATAGAGCTAAATGTCCCAACGTTATGATTTAATACACCTAAATAAATGGCGTATTTTGGGAGCTGTTAGGTCATCCAATAAGAAATATCTTATCCCACTATTATATCATGTTATGATTTTGGGATCATCTAAAACCATTGTCTGACAACCTTATCGATCGCATGAGGAACGCAAAAAATGGAAACGACGCAAAAGAAACCAGTCAGCCAAAATGACCAATCACTAAAATAAAATATATATATATGTTTTGATGGGAAGCTCTTCGCTCAAGAGGTCAAACCAAGGAGAGGCCAACAAATACAAAAATTGGATCGATCAATGCGGCCATTTCTCCCTCTGCTTTCCATTCATTCACGTCCTTTGGTCCTAATAAGGTAAAATGAGGTGATAATGGAACAATAAATTAGAGGGATTAGTGGTGCTTTGGGTGGCATTGTTCCTTATGATAATGGTGGATTAGTTTGCTATTGGTCAGTAGGGCTCCTTGGTGCGGTCACTGCATCAGAAATAAAATGGTATTAAGTAGAAGTGAATGAAAGACTGCACAAAGGAAAGATACAAAAAAAGGTGCTGCTATCGTGGGATCTTCCTGATCACGCACAAACTTTTGTAATTGTATTCACTTAATAAGAATGACTAAATTCAATGCCAACAGTACTGGTTCAATGTTATTGGAACGCTTTTGAATTCTATGTGCAGTCAAAAAACGTATCACATCAAATCTGGTGGACTTCATTACCTTTAAATAAAATGGTTATGTCAGTGGAGAAGCGATAATGAAGCTCACTAGGAACTTTCAGGAACTTCTCAGGTGTCCAAACATTTCCATCACAAAATTTTAATAAGGTAAACGTGAAGTGTGATTYATCATCGTGTTTGGGCACTAAGTCTAAAATAAAAACACAATCTTCGTAGTTCAACAATATGGAGATCAAGACGTCTTTCAAGCATCACGGAGATTAAGTATTTCAGAGTTGAAGGTGGTAAAAGCTGTACCGATCGTTGTAGAGGTGTTACTGCTGCAGTTACTTATATTAGTGCTGCTGCTGATGCTATTGTTGATGGTAATAATGTTGGTGACGAGGAGGAAAAGTATGATCATGATGGTATGGTGGTGATGAATATAAAGTTGTTTATAATGATCATGGCGTATTTAAGTAAAGAGATTTTTTGGGCAATGTTTCAAAATACGATACATATCGTCTTTCAGTGTTTCTACTTCAAAGTCCACTCCCGCGTTACCGTCGTCATATCAACCCTTTTCGGAGAAGACAGCAGCCACTGTGTATCCATCCTCTGCGCACTCGTCCTTCAGAGTACAGTATTCAATACCTACATCAAGTAGGATACCGCCAAGTTTAAAGCAAACGACGACATCTTCAACATCTAGTGCCTCATCTTCCAGGTTATTAGTTTCTGTTAATAAGAAGTGGATTTCTCATCAAGGGATTTAAGAGAAGTGGAAAACACGAAAAAAAAATACATTTTGGTGGTTTACTATACAGCTTTGTGAATCAAATAAGAAAAAGGAGTATTTAAAGGGCATTTACCTGGTTTTGACTAAAGTCAAGTGAAGCCTACAGCAAAATATTATGGTTTTCTGACTAAAGATGATTAAAAATGAGGAATGGTAGGGATCAAGACTAGCAAGGGATGTATCTCGATTACATATGTAAGGGTAGTTGAAAGGAGTAATTTACCAATTTAAACATCGGTTGTTTTAACTCAATTAAAATACTTTCTAGTAGCTAAATTATGACTCAGAATAGAGCGTACAGTTAAATCAGGTTAAGAATGCTGTATGAAATACGTCTTCTACGCTTATTGCAGATAAAGTTGCTCAATTGAGATTTATTGACTTCAATAGCTCAACTCCATTTCTTTTTGAATTAATTTTTTTAGCTCAAGCACGTCTTCATCAACATCACAATCAACATCTTTGAGTTCAAGCAAGTCAACAAGTGTGTCGACCTCAGTGAGTAGTAGTACATCCACCTCAACCTCAAAAGGTGTCAGCTCACCAACAACCACAGTTTTCTCAACATATTCCAGTGCCAGCACAAGTACCTCAACATCAGTGTCCACCAGTGTATCTACATCAACGTCAACTAGTGTGAGTATACCAACAACGTCTGTTTCCACGACATTGTCAAGTGCGAGTACAAGTACATCAACATCAGTGTCCACCAGTGTGTCTACCTCAACGTCAACAAGTATCAGCTTCAGTTG